ACCTGTTAGGACATATGCTTAATTTGTCATTGCATGAATAATTGGAGTTATATTTCTATTAAATTGCCTCTTTTGCTTAATGTTTTTTTATGTGAGATACTCTTTTAATCTAATCTTGGGTGTATAAGGAATACTGACCATTAATCTACGCGCTGGAACTATGGAAATTGTTGTACTTACGCAGGTTGAATATGGATATAAGACCTCTAGTAGTAGCTTTTGAATTAACGTCTTAGTGCCTTAGGTAGATTATTCTACTTTATCATGTTCCTTGTCATATCAAGCAGAGTTTTATTTCTCCTTTCAACAAGAACATTAAGTTGTAGAGTGTATGAAGTAGTCACCTCATGCTCAATACCATGTTCATCACAAAACTTCTTAAACTTTGTTGAGTTTAGCTCACCTCCACCATCGTTTCTGAGGATTTTTCAACCTTTGTCCACTTTGACTTTCATCCTCCACTTTGAACTTCTTGAACTCAACAAACACTCCATGTTTGAACTTTATGAGTGTTACCCATATCATTTCTAAGAACTCATCCATAAATGAAACAAAGTACTTATTCCCTCTAAGTGAAGGTAGCTTAAAAGCCCCACAAACATCCCAATGTACCACACTCAAAGCATAAGTTGCTCTTGGAGACATTTTTTATGAGAGAGGAAATCATGGGTGTTTGCCTATCATGAATATATCACATGATTTCTATGGTGCCATAATCTTAGAAGTTTCATGTGCCAGACTCTTTCAACTCAGATGCCATAAACTTTTGTAGTTTAGGTGCCCCAATCTCTCGTGCCACAACTCATTTTCCCCTTTAGTACTTCTTGCACTAAGGCATTAAGTGTCTGTTATTGCAACATTCACCTTGAGTGTCATATTTCTTCCCAATTCATACTGCATAATTAGCTTCTGATTACAGTCATAAAACTTCAAGAGATTGTTCTTCATGGTAACTGAAAAACCTTTTTTAATCAGCTGACCTACACTCATCAGATTGTTATTCATGCTAGGAACATAGGATACATCCTTAATCAGTACATTTTTGCCATTGTTCGATTTCACTCTGACATTTCCTATTCCTTTAGCATTCATATACTCATCATTAACACATCTGATCTTGGTCCTTTTACTATAGTCAAAATCAACAAGTCATTGCTTGTTTCCGGTTAGGTGATTTGAGCAGCCATATACCACTAGCCTACCATTGGTCCACCTACATTCTCAGATGCCATCAATAGCACAGTTCATCATCATAATCTCTTTTGGCTACGTTGGCTTCTTCACCCCTACTAACCTTGTTTGACCAGCATCAACAGCAAAATGGCCAAACTTGTTGCAATTATAACATTAAACCTTTCTCTTATCAAACTTCTCTTTTCCTTTATGGGCATTCTTATGTTTCTTCTCTTTAGAGTTGGAGAGTTTTGACTTTTGAACACCACTAGTATACTTTTTTTTTGTTCTCTAGCTATGTTTGCTTCTGGTTCTTCTTGAGAAAAGAAGTTTTTTAGAGTCTGAGCTGACCTATTCTAACTCCTTTTCAAAGTTTCTTTCAGTCAGATGCAACACTTGTGCCTCTAAACTATCCCGAAGCTCTTCAATCCTCATGGTGCTTGTATCTTTAGAGTGTTCTATGGCTACAACTAGGTAATCAAATTGAGGAGTAAGTAATCTCAGTACCTTTTTAATGATTACTTATTCAGAGAGTATTTCTCCACAAGACTTCATCTCATTCATGACCACAATCACGCTGGAAATGTAATCAGGAACCTTCTCATTGTTCTTCAAGCTGAGATTCTAATATTGCTTGTGTAAGGACTACAACTTGACCTTCTTCACTGATGCGTCACCACCATAGCACCAAACTAGTGTATCCCACACTGTCTTCGCCGTCGTCGAATCAACAATTTTCTCAAACACATTTGTATTCACACACTGATGGATATAGAACAACGCCTTCTGAGCCTTCTTCTTTGTTTCACATTGCATAGTTCTTTGCGCTTCTATTGCATTTTTTGCAAACGGTGTGTAACCATCATTGACGAGTTCAATAATATCTTGAGCTCCAAACAATACATGCATCTAAATCGACCACCGATTTCAATTCTTTTCGTCAAATATTGTAGACTTTGTATTCAAGCTACCGTTTCCGCCGTTCATCTTCGTTCTTGTGCAAATCACTCAGTTCTCGTCAACACTAGTGTTTCTCAAATCCTGAGAATCAAGATATATGTTTTTCTTCGATTTCGAACTTTCAATTCAACGTGAATTTCAAGAACGAAATCAATCACACACCTCACAACACTCGTGTTTTTCTGTGAAATCGAACCGAAGCTCTAATAACAAATGTTGAAATTCAACATTGAACCTTCATTAATCCACACGAATTGAAGAAGATGAAAATGAAATAATGCAGAGAACAGAGAAAAGAGAAAGAGAAATATTTATAACTAATATTCTCAAATTAAAAAATTATTATATTCTATTATAAATAAAACTCACTTTATTCAAATTCAAATCAAATTCAAATGAAATTCAAACTCAAATATAAGTGAAATGAAAATGAGCCACTTAATTATGAATTACATTCCAACAATATGGATACCCCGCCATGGTTACAAACACTCACATTACTCAGATATAGCTGCCAAAACCATATTAATGTGAATACGTCCGGCCTCTGTCACGAATATACGTAAGTTAAAACCCAACCATTTCTAAAGAGCATTGGTCCCTACTGTACTTATATTCAAACTGAAACGTAATCATACTCATTAAAGCTGTGGCTGCTGTTGAGAATTATATATATATATATATTGAAAGCCAATATTTTCGTGTTCTCTATCTATTAATTCACGGTTGTTCAAACGTTGCTTTAAGTCTTGAGTATCAAGAAACCAGTGGCTAAAAATGGAGTGATAATGAAATATGGTTATCTACTGAGGACTCCACCCTCTTGCAGTATGACTCCCGTTGACAGTGATAACACATCTTCGACTCTACTGTATTACTTTAGTACGAGTAACTACACAAACACCTACCAATAAACCATCAAATAAATAATATATTAATTAATTATAAATAATGTAACATAAAATTAATTAATTTAATTATTTTATAAATAACATAAAAATAATATAACATGAAATCTAAAACACAATGTCCAGAAGACAATGGACTACTATTTTTCATCCTACTAAAAAGGTTGGTGCAACTCTGCAAAATTTCAAATCTACCGGATGTGTTTTCTCTTATGTCATTGTGACATGTTTTAGTGTTTGTCAAAACAGATTCGGCCATTTATCTAATGTTTATAAGGTTGTAAATTTATTAAATATTTATAACAAAAGCTCTCTAGTGGTAGCTAACAAGAAGTGATCAATAAAAGAATATAATTTATCACAATAAAAATATGAGAAAGAATATAAAAACCATCGTCGCACCAGCATATATATTAGAATTGAAATAAATACAACTAACAAAATAAAATAAAAAAATTATGAAATATGTCATTATATCGTTAACTCATAGAAACTTGGTCTAGTTGGAACAAATTTTAGATAAATTTTTAGTAGGTTACATTTTTCCTAAAACTTTGCATTTAATATGTATAAATTTTTTAGTTACAATAATAGCAACGCGTCTAAAATAACAAATAAAATAACATTATAAATAACAAATAAAAATACTAAACATTATAAAATATCTAAAAGCATACACCAATCAAACAGTAGCATATATTTTAAATATTATATTTTTAACATGATTGTTATTTTATACTCATAACCAACATTGTTGAATTTCGTAATTATTTGTAATGAACATATACAAAAGAAATATCTCTATTATCCTAACTCTTTTTTCATCTTTAATTTCTCAAAATAATCAAAGATTAAGTTAGTCTCCACTTTTATCAAAACTCCAATTACGTCAAAAACACACATTCATCAAAGACTTGATTCTTAAATAAAAAATATGCTCATAAATATTTATATTAGGAAAAATGAAAAAAAAATGACAAAAAAATTGAAAATAGATGTAAAAAATGATTTACATCATACATCTATTTATATAAAATTTCCTACTAAAATATAATATAAAATAATATACAATTATTTTATGTAATATATATTAAACAAATTCAAAAGGAGCATCATTACATCCAATTGGTGCCCCCTTTAAACATTAAAGAGGACACACTAATTTGACCTTTTTGTTTTGAAACATGAATATACTGAAAAATAAAAGGGAAATTTGGTTATTATGGAGTAAAAGTTGGAGAAGTTAGTTATTTTAATAAAAAAAAAATACAATTATGAATAAAATCAATATATTATAATTAATATTAGTTTTTTTAAATATATTTTAAAAAATAAATTAAACTAATTGGTTAATAAAAATAAAAATATTTGTCACGGTCTGAGATATGTATCCAAATAATCAGTTAAATGACCTATTTTTACAAAAATAAAATACTAAAGTGTAAAAAATTATAATTATTTTCATTTAGGCAAAATAACCTTTTTGGTCCCTTAACTTTATTTCGGGGTCCACTTTGGTCCCTTATCTTTAAAAAGTGCCAAGTTGGTCCCTTAACTTTTAAAATGGTGTCACGTTTATCCTTCCGTCTGTTGCCGTTAGTTTGAGTTTGAAAAAATTGCCACGTTTGTCCATGTGGAGTGCTGAGGTGGGAGTGAAGTGAAGTAGAATGTTGAGGTGGAAGTAAAGTGAAGTGTCTTAGTGGAAGATTGAAGAAGAAGAAGAACAAGAAGAAGAAGGAATGATTGAAGAGTGAAGACGATTCTGGTGTTCATTATCCACCATTACCCAGAAGAAGAAGGAACAATTGAAGAGTGAAGACGATTGAAGAAGAAGACCTGATTTTTTTATTAAGGATTGAAGACGATTCAAGAGTCAATCTCAAAAGGTTAGTTCATTTCTCTCTGATTTAGGGTTCTCTGATTTAAACGTTAATTACATACATGGTATGATTAGATATCATGGACGAATACATAACTCTGAAAATTCATCATAGTGGTGAGTTTACAGATGAAGGTCGTAGTGTATATGAGAATGGAGTAGTAGATGATTTGAAGGTAGATGTAGACAGATGGAGTTATTTTGAGCTTGTTGGTGTATTGAAAGACTTAGGTTACAGGGAGTTTGAAACAATATTTTACAAGGACCCACAATTTGGGATGAACCAACTTGTTGATGACAATGGTGTTTTAGAAGGATAGCTGGAATTGGTTTTTAGAGCTGTTAATTGATGACCTTGGAGGCAAAGATGAATGTCTGACTTACACTTTCATCTCAGACCAACAAAAGACAAGTTTTTCATTTATTCTTATGTTGTTTTTCATCTCAGACCAAATATGATGTTATATGTATCTTGTTGTTTATAGGTATCTTGCTGTTATATACCAAACTTAAGTGTGCTGCTGTTATATACCAAATATCCTGTTATATACCAAACTTAAATGTGCTGCTGTTATATACCAAATATGAACCAAATATAATCCAAACTGTTATATGTATGTTGCTGCTATAGACTAAACTGTTATATACCAAATATGAACCAAACTTATGTATGCTGTTATAAATATGCTGCTATATACCAAACTTAAGTGTGCTGCTGTTATATACCAAATATGAATCAAACTTATGTATGTTGTTATAAATATGCTGCTATATACCAAACTTAAGTGTGATGCTGTTATATACCAAATATGAACCAAACTTATGTATGCTGTTATAAATATGCTGCTATATACCAAACTTAAGTGTGTTGCTGTTATATACCAAATATGAACCAAACTTATGTATGCTGTTATAAATATGCTGCTATATACCAAACTTAAGTGTGTTGCTGTTATATTCAAACTTATATGCTACATTGTATGTTATTGCAGGGCCTGTCCAACTCAATCAAACTCCAACTCAGACTCCATCTCAGACTATTCAACAAACTAGTCAACACACTCCTACTTCAACTCAGACTCCAAGTCAGACTCCATCTCAGCCTACTCAACAATCTTGCCAAGCATCTCAGCCAAGCAAGACACAAAAGCTGTCTGTAAGGAAGCCAACAAGACTTTTTGTGCCACCTGGTCCTACAACTAGGTTGAGTGCTGCGAAGAATGTTGTCGGCCCAGTAACAAGGAGGTCTACTCCAACAAAGAGGACCACGCCAAAGAAGAAACTCTAAGTTGTGGAACATGTTTAGTTACCTAGAACAAGTTTATGTATTGTACTGATGTCATTTTGGAACAAGTCTATTACATTCTACTGTTGTTGTAATGAACAAGTTTATGTGTTATAATTTGAACAAGTTTATAATTTGAACAATTTTATAATTTGAACATAGTCTATTACATTCTACTATTGTTGTAATGAACACTGATTTTATCTTCAGTGTATATACCCCCACGGGTATATAGTGTAAGCAGCTTCAATAAGCATATACCCCCACGGGTATATAGTGAAAGTATCTTGCTCGTCAAACTTGTATGAGTTGTCTTCATCAAAATATAGAAGGCTTTGAATCTTGATTCCACATCTACTGCTGTCATGAACAAGTTTATAATTTGAACATGTTGTACTCTACTGCTGTCATGAACAAGTTCTACATTTGTTGTATTTTACTGTTGTCATGAACATGTCGTTTTAGAAAGTATTACAGGTTTATGAAATGAACCAAATAGGCTGTTATGTTGTTATGCTGCTATATACCAAATAGGTTGTCATGAACATGTTGTATTTTACTGCTGTTATGCTGCTATATGTTGGTGTAAGCCCTAGAGGCCAATACTTTTTGGTACTTGTATCAGATTATTCGTTTAATAATAAAAGGAATTTCTTTATTATGTTTGTCTTTCAGAATAATAAAGTCCCTAGAATAGTTAGTCTGTTTAATGAAATGTTAAGTGTGACTTAATCATGAGATCCCATTAAACATAAAGACATTATTCTTAAAATATCCGTAGTCAAGCTTTATTGCAAAGTGGGATAACATTAAAAGCATTGAGACTATTATGAAGATAGACTGATGATCACATCTCATGGATCATGGATAAAGAGTTATCAAGTCTTGACATAGGTATAAATATTAGGAGTAATATTTATACCGGATTGACCCGCTATGAGAATACTACATAGTATGTTATGCAAAGTGTCATAAGTTATTCTCATGGTGATAATGGTGTATTACCACCCTTCGACCTGAAACCACTATGGACCCTAGATGTAGAGTCGGGTGCTTTATTGCTGATCAAACATTATCCGTAACTGGATGATCATAAAGACAGTTGATGGGCACTCCACGAAGCATACTGAGGGACATGAGTGTCCTAGATGGAATTTGCCAATCCTGCATAACAGGAGAAATGTCTAAGGGCCCAATATTGAACTGGACAAGGATGACACAGTGTATGCCTTGTGTTCAATATAGACATAGGGGCAAAAGGGTAATTGTACAAACATATATTATCACGAAAAGGGTTTTGTCAGATCACATGACATTTTCGTGACTTGGGTAGCAGTGATGTGTTGCTAGATACCGCTTACTGTTTATTATGTTAAATATATAATTTAATATAATTACCAACGTTACGAAATCCTACAGGGTCACACACATAAGGACAGTTTGATGAGAGATAGAGAAATCAAAGGAACACCGTAAGGTACGGTGCACTTAAGTGAAAAAATAGAAATTCGGATAATATAATAATAATTATTGTTATTTTATAATGGTTATAAAATAATAATAAAATAACTATATTTATTATAATAATAGTTATTATAATAATATATAATATTATTATGGATCATGTGAATTGGGTTTTTAGCACGCAGTCCACAAGAGAGTCTATAAAAGGAACCCTTGTGATGAAGCTTTCACTTGATGCAATTTCGTTTTTGATTCTCTTTTCTCACTCAAATAATTCCGTTCGTAAGCAGCTAGCACTGTGACTGGAAGCTGTTCGTGTGGACTGAGTAGAGGCGTTGCACTTCATCAACGCTTGTGATCGCTGCATCAAAGATCTGAATCGCCACAAAGAGGTAACGATTCTATCACTGACCATGCTCATTCGTAAGGATCACTAAAGGAAATTTTTGTTTTCCGCTGCGTTTAGATCGCAATTTTCCTTCACTATATACCAAATAGGCTGTCATGAACATGTTGTATTTTACTGTTGTTATGCTGCTATATACCAAATAGGCTGTCATGAACATGTTGTATTTTACTGTTGTTATGCTGCTATATACCAAATAGGTATTATGAAATATATATACCAAAACTGTTATGCTAAAAGCAGTCCAAACTGGATAAAACACATTGTTCAAACTGTTATATGTATGCTGCTTTATGTATAACCAAAATTGTTATATGTATAACAAAAACTGGGTAAAACACTTTAACCTAAAAGCAGAACCTAAAAGCAGTCCAAACTGTTATATGTATGCTGCTTTATGTATGCTGCTGTTATATACCAAACTGTTTTATACCAAATACAATCCAAACTGTTATATACCAAACATAGAAAACACATTGATGGACCAAAACTGTTATATATCAAACATAAAAACACTTTGACATGATATAATCCAAAACTGTTATATTCATTCATGTTAAACTGCAAAAACTGAAATTAACTAAACGGATACAATCCATATATTAAAATCCAACTATTACATTCATGTTGAAGTCATACAAACTTTAACTAAACATAATACTTCCAAACAAACCGTAATAACCTAATTACCCCTAACAACTAATACAATGATAATCATCACAAACATCAAATTCAAAATCTTTTTCCACTTCATGATATTCTTCATTTCACTTCCAAGTTTCATTAGCTTTTTCCCTAATTCTTCATTCTCCATTATTGCCTTTTCAATGTCCTTTTTTGCTTCAGCAAGTCTCTTAGTTACCACACCCAGCCTATGCATCCAAAATTGCTCATTCTCATCACCCACCTCCTCATAAAACCAATCAAAGAAGGCACAACCAGCTTGCATACCTCCCTGTAAGATTCATTGTTCAGAGGATGATGAATAATAAACAGAAACATCAAAAAACAGAAACAAAAATTTACACTATATACCTGTGGAGGTATATGCTTATTGAAGCTGCTTACACTATATACCCGTGGGGGTGTATACACTGAAACCATAACTTTACACAGAGAACAAAACCATAACTTCAACAGAGAACAAAACCATAACTTCAACAGAGAACAAAACCAGCTTGCATACCTTATAATTTGGACAACCCCAAAAAAGTTTTCCCGTATTCTAAACAGTAGTTGCCCTTTGAAGAACAATCATGTCTCCACAATGGCACATGGGCTTCCATCGTGACCGAATACAAACATCTGAATCCCAACTTTTCGTTTTTGACATGGAAGAGGAACATCCAGATTTCATGCTTGCCCTAGATTAATTAACGGATTCGTGATTAGGATTGGAATTTGGGATTTGGGATTTGGGATTTCAACAGAAGAAGGAGAGAGAACGCAGACACATCATGAACAAGATTGCCATCTCAGCTGCCAGCTATACAAAACAAACGGACGTTTGGGGGCAACTGACGGTGTGGACTAAAATGACACCATTTTAAAAGTTAAGGGACCAACTTGACACTTTTTAAAGATAAGGGACCAAAGTGGACTCCGAGTTAAAATTAAAGGACCCAAAAAGGTTATTTTGTCTTTCCTTTATTATTGGTTTATTATAAACATTTACATTTTTTGTTCACAATATTCAAAAAAATAGTAATTTTGTTGGTTTGTAGTAAAAAACACTAACTCTTTAATAACAAATATTTATATTGTGTATCGGTTTATATTAAATTATAATTATTTTTATTTTTATTTAAAATATGTTTAAAAAATAAAAAATGTAATTTGTGACAAATAATTGTCTCGTGCAACAAAGAAGTTATTGAAACATATAATTTATACATAAAACAAAAATTTGTTATTAATTAATTAGCTTTTTATATCTTCTAAATAAAATTTAAATAGTAATTATATTAAACAAATTTAAATCTAATATAGATTTAGGAAAAAACTTGTCACTAATTTTACAATTCAACCTTTTAAATTAGTTTTAAATTAACATCTAACTTATTTTTCAGGCATTTCAAATAATGTGCTACATGTGAGCAATGTGGTGTTGAAGGTAATAAAAAAACACTAAATTTATATGATTAGCTAATGATTATGCAACATAT